TATAACATTAAAAGGAGTTTAAAGCATGCAATTTATTAGTAAAAAGTATTTCAAAGGCAAGTAATGAAGCGTCCTTTTCCAAGCCCTGTCTGTAAAAGCCTTCCATTCTCAAAGCCTGTTGGAATAAAATAAGTCTTTCCCTGCTGATGGAAGGAGAGCAAGGAAGAGGCCAAGCCAACCTCTGTGAAAGCCCCATCCATGCAGGTGGGATTGTGAAGGTGCTGGAATCGAGAGGCCTCCCTCCAGGATTTCCTCCAATGGTTTCATTTATCCGCATCTCCCTGCAGAAACAACGGAAGCCGTGTACTTGCTGAGTGCGAGTTCTGATGGCAGATGGTTGGCTGCAGCCAGCGGCAATCGGGAAATCAATATCTACAGCTTGGAAGATGCCAAGGTGAGCCAAGCAGCGTCCGTTACTAGCAGGAGGCCAAACAGGATTCTGCTTTGATGTTAAAAATGTTCTAAGAGATGCAGTGGTTTCCTTGAGGGCCTCTGTGACTTGTGGACAGTTGAGAATATTTTGCTCCCCCCCTTTTGCAATTATTATTATTATTAATATCATCATCATCATCCTCTTTTGCAAGGTAGTGGGCTGTTGCCCTCCTCTCCTGCTTGATGGCTGTCTGCAGGGCTCTTCTTAATCCTTGTATTTTGTTAGAATTCAAAGATATAGCCCTGTTAGAATCAATATGCAGAGAGAGATCTTGGAGCACCTTTGAGAAGAACTGCAAGAAAGAATTTTGGAAGCATGAACTTTTCTAGACTTTATTATTATTATTATTATTATTATTATTATTATTATTCAAAGTTATAGCCCTATTAGTCTGTAGAATCAGTCTGTAGAGAGATCTTGCAGCACCTTTGAGAAGAACTGTAAGAAAAGTTGGTGGCGTGAGCTTTCCTAGGCTTCAGTCTGCTTCTTTAGATGCATGTTATCATTGTTGTTTTGTTATTGTTGTTGTTTTTATTAAAATATATAGCCCTGTTAGTCTGTAGAATCAGTCTGTAGAGAGATCTTGTAGCACCTTTGAGACTCACTGAAAGAAAGAAGTTGGCAGCATGGGCTTTCCTAGGCTTCAGTCTACTTATGTAATTTGGGAGAACATTTTTCTTTCCCCCTTAGTGTGTGCTAAGAACCAATACCATCTTTGTGCCTTTAGCTTGTAATTGTGTTTTTTTAATTTCCTGGAAACTCTCCAAGAACCAGCATCACTGTCCCCAGACCTCCATTTTGAGTAGCATCCATGTTGCTTGGTTACGCCTTCAATATCGCAGCCCTTGAGTGTCATGTTAGACCTGGGATACCTCTTTAAACCTAAGCATTAGACCCATACTTATATGCTAGCCTTGTTGTTGTTGTGTTTTCGCATGAACCCTGGTGTGTGGAATAGGCTTGGCAAGTCTTATTCAGAGGTTTACCTTTCCCCTGAGGGCAACTTGCCCAAAATCACCCCCTCAGTTTCCAGGCCTTGGTAAGACACTGAAACCCAGATTTCCAAAGTCAAATACACAAACAAACACCATTGTACCACACTTTGTAATGCAAGAGAAAAGCGTCATCATTTGAAGGTATGACGCTGGCAATGAATGTATGGCCATTATTCCCCTAAATAATATACCACCTCAAGTTTGACCTAATAAACCTCAGTTTTGCTGTAGCCATATATTTTCCATATCAGTGTATGATGAGAATGGAGTGGCAGAAAACTCTCATAGAACGAACGCTGGCCACCTTTATCCCTTTTGCTCCCACCAGAGAAAGAAAATGGGAGTTTTTAATAAGCCTTAACATGGCACCAGATGTAGGAAATCAGTTTTATGTCCAACCAAACTGGTATAACTGCCCTTCACGTAGTTTTAAACTCATTTTGTGATCTTGTCTCTTTCTGTTCCCCTGACCTTAGAAATGTCGTAAGAAATAACCTTTCCTTTATTAATACAGGATGTGATTGATGTGGGAGAGCAGCACTTTCCCCCTTCAGTGTACCAAGAACCAAGGCCATATTTGTGCCTTTAGGGTCACAATTGTTTTTCTTTCCTGGAAACTCCCCAAAAAACCAACAGACCACCATTTTGAGTAGCTTTGCTTTGCTTTGCTTTGCCATACTTTCAGTGTATGTTAGGCCTGTTGGGATAAACATGAATTTGAAACCTAAATATTAGAACCTTGTAATATTTATGGTGATATTGTTATGTGTTTTCACATGGACTCTGATTTATGGAATTGGTCTGGAGAGGTTTATTCAGAGATTTATTCAGAGATTTACCTTTACCTTTTTCCCTGAGGGGCAGCTTGCCCAAGATCACATTTCTAGGCCTTGGGAGAGATTGAAACCCAGGCTTCCAAAGTCAAACACACACAAGACACCATTGTACCACACTTTGTAATGCTAGAGAGAAGTGTCATCCGTTGTGTAGTGACCCAGGTAGGAGGCTGGTAATGGGTCAACATTATACCTTAAAAAACTATACCTTAAACCTAACATTTGATCCCAAAATATACCAGAGTGTCAGAACCAGTACCAATCTTTGTGCCTTTGGGCTGTGATTGTGTTTTTCTATTCAAGAACCAATAGAGAGGCCCAGCCTTGGTCCCCAGGCCTCCATTTTGAGTAGCATTTGTGGCTTTGTTACACCTCCGGTGTTGCAGTCCTTGAGTGTATTGTCAGGCCTGGAATACCTCTTTGAACATCCCCAGGTGTGTTAATGTTGTTGTGTGTCTTCCCTTGGACTCTTAGGCTTGGAGAGAGTGGCGCACCTTCAGTGTCAGTGTTTGTGAGGTCTTCTGGGAAACCTCTTGAACCTCAGAATATGTGCTTTCACACAAAGACACTGATTTATGGACTAGGCTTGGCAAGATTTATTCAGAGGCTTACCATTACCTTTTACCATCTTTGTGCCTTTAGCTTGTAATTGTGTTTTTTTAATTTCCTGGAAACTCTCCAAGGACCAGCATCACTGTCCCCAGACCTCCATTTTGAATAGCACTCATTTTGCTTGGTTACGCCTTCAATATCGCAGCCCTTGAGTGTCATGTTAGACCTGGGATACCTCTTTAAACCTAAGCATTAGACCCATACTTATATGCTAGCCTTGTTGTTGTTGTGTTTTCGCATGAACCCTGGTGTGTGGAATAGGCCTGGTGAGTCTTATTCAGAGGTTTACCTTTCCCCTGAGGGCAACTTGCCCAAAATCACCCCCTCAGTTTCCAGGCCTTGGTAAGACACTGAAACCCAGACTTCCAGAGTCAAACACACTCAAAAACACCATTGTACCACACTTTGTAATGCAAGAGAATAGTCATCAGTTGTGTAGTGACCTGGCCAGGTATGAAGCTGGTGATATATGACCATTATACCTTAAATTATCTATACCAGACTAGACTAAAAATAAAAAGACACAGGAGACTCTGGG